CATGAACCTACTGGTAGGTCACCTCATAGCATAAGAGAAAATGAAGAAACTAGAAATGAATGCTTTCCTTTTTATTAAGTAGTTTCATGAGTTTCTCTTTAGGGAACACTTAATGATTTCTTAATAACCCAAAGATGACCATCCACCCATGTCATGATGCAAAAGCTGCCCTTTATTTTTATTATAAAGCATTCCTGGAAAAATATTTCTCTTAAAGAACCTATCGCAATGTTATCTCAAAAAAAAAAAAAATGACCTTACACAGCAATAAAAAATATTTTATCTTTTTTTAAGAGCTGTTTTTGTAAAGTCTTATGTCATCAGCACTTTATAATATCACAAACAGGCATTAGTGGGGATAGGCAGTTACTGAATTGAGTCACCAAAAGTTGAATTTGCCTCTTTAGGCATAGTTTGGCCTATGTTTTCCATAGTAATTCATAATGTACTGAAGGGATAGTCAGAATATCTTACCTCTTTATAAAGAGCTTACTAAAAATTTATAAATACATCTCATTTTTTTTGACTCTCTGGGCCAAGGTATATTTAACCTCTGGCTCTGAGACTACATGTGGCTGGAAACAAAGTAGAACAAAAAAGAAAACAAAAATTCAGATAAGTGGGAGACAGTACTATCTCTTGAGATGCTGATAATTTTATATTTTTACCATGAATGCCTGTTTACTCAGTACATTCCTTCAAGAAACCTGAATTTCAATATAACAAATACATTAAACTTTGATTATGAGTTGCTGACCTTAGTCTTTGAAAAAATGTTTCTAAAACAATTACTACTTAGGAGGTTTCCCTCTGTTTTAGTAGTACAAGATCTCTCTTTAGAAAGAAGTTTTTTTAAAGGGGAAAAAGAACTTCATAAATCTAAGCTCTAATGCAGAAGTCCTAGAAATTTGGGGAGATCTTCTGAAGTATGCATAAAAATATATCTGGCTAAATAAAGAGTGGAAACAAAATACTTCAGAAGCATGTTTTGCATATGAGAATTGGACCTGACAAAATTTCTAATTGATAACACACTCTAAGTTATAGTTTATTATGTAGAAATACATTTAACAGTGTGCAGATATTAAATATTTAGTCTCAGGTGGGTTGACTTGCTATGTGACTTGGAACAAGCCACCTGCTACTCTTGCCAATCTGCAGGTTCCTCAAGAGTAACAGGGGAACGTTCTCTGTCTAATCCTAGTGTTGGAGAGAAAAAAGTAGCACATAGTAAGAGTTTAATAACCTAAAACATCATAAAGCATAAAGATTAATTATAATTTTCCTTACTATCATATTTGCTTTCAAAATGGTTCCTCATTTTGAGCTACTATTTTTTAGATAAAACTAGTAATGGAGTGGGAAGAAGAAACATTAAAATATTTCTTGGTGTTGAGCTGTAGAATGAACCTGCAGGTTGCTGACAGAAACACAATTCTCCCTCATTTCTGCCCCTTCGCTTCTCGCTATTGCACTTGAAAGAGCTTTTGATGACTGGCTTATTCCATTTTTAAAAACTCTTCCAATAACTTTCAGTTCATTTTTTAATCCCTCTCACCTGGATTATAGAACAGTTCCTATTATTGCTAGCAACCAAATTCCAAAGCAGTATATGTACTTTAGAAAATAGATACCATCCCCAAAATCGTAACTGAAGGAAAATATGCAAAAACAAAAAAACAAAAAAAACCCAAAACAAACAACAACAAAAAAAAAACCAACCAAACAAACAAACAAATAAATAAAACCCCAAACTGTCTATTCTATAGATCACAGACCTGTTACTAAGAAAGTCACTGGTCAGGAATTTGTAATTAGTATGAAGCATTACATAGCAATAGCAAAGCCATATAGAAGTAGTGGTAGAATATTTGACCTCTTATACAACTTTTTGTAAAACACTCAAACACTAATAAATGAGTCGAGAGTCAAACATTGTCGGGATTGGTAAAGAGCACTCCATGCTAACCTGTGGTCTTTTGATCACATCTATTCCTAAAACCTAATATTACATCTAACTGAAAAGGGCTGAATAAAAGCTCAATTCCTTTTGGGATTATTCCAAAAAGCTTTTGTGAAATATGATTTTAAAAGACAGAAAAAGACAAATGACCAAGATCACTACTATTCTTGAAACGAACCATGCATATTTGCTCAGAGGACTTGGAGAATGGAGAAGAGAGAGAGGGGAAGCAATAGTTTTAAAGGAAATCTGAGGAAAGGATAAAAACTGTAAAAAGACTGAAAGTACACTTAGTGACATTGTACCTTCAGTGAAATGAGAAAAGAAAAATAATAAAAAGCAGAGTTTCTAGTCAGATTATAAGTTTATACCTAGGCCAGATGGAGAAGACACCAAATTACTTTCCATTATTGTTTCTCCCAAAATGTGAATGTTTCTGACAGCTGCAAGATTTTATTCTGATGAACAAGACAAGAATGCCTTTCGTAACAGAATAGCGAGAACAAAATATCTTTTTAAGAAAACTAGGTTTATATTGTTAACCAAGGGTTTCTGAAGCTACACTCAAACATGGATGATATGCTAATATGTTTAGTTAATCTGATAGTAACATTCCTACTTTACACTAAGTTTTGCTTTAATTTAAGGAACATTTACGGTTGAACAAATTAGAAGAAAACTTGTGACCCAGGCAGAATCATGGATATCAGAGTAAGGGTGAGAAAGGAGTACAGCCAACAAAGAAAGGATTAATGTTGAACTTTCAAAGTTAGAAATATTAAAAATTGCATACTACCAAAAGAGAAACACATTGTGGGGCCCTTAAACAAGTGAAAAATTAGGAAGAGCAAAATAAGGAATACCTTTGGAATAAAATACATGCCTTTTGAAGCAAACAATGGTAATTGTTTGGGTGTCCATTAGAAACAGATTGAAAAAAACTCATCCAGATACTGGAATGCAGAGAATTAAAGTTTGTAGAGTTCAACATGGACAAAAAGTGATGTCCATTTCACCATAGACATAAGCCAATTTCATGTCCAAAATTAAAGGAGGAACTTAGTCTCTATTTTATACATAAAAGCAAGAAGATGCCATTTAATCTCAATACATTCTAAGAAAACACAAATTCAGCTTCCGATAAAGGACATACTTATTCTTTCTGAATTACATTCTAGAGCCATGTATGGCATCATTTCCTTAGCCTGTTAGAAAGAGAGCTCAACACGAAGCATAATTTGATTTGGATAAATCCAGACTCTTTCAGGAATCAAGGCATCGATTATATGACTTGGTTAAGTGTGCCATACTACTGACATCAAAGTCACAAGTTCAATACACTTATGGGCAACTTTATTAGCTGTGCACACAAAACAGTATTCTAATACATGTAGACAGCCACATCAAAATAAACTATGCTGAGACTTAATTGTGAGGCCACTAGGCAAGACATGTAAACAGATCGTACAATCATGACAAGGTAGTATATACAATGGAAATATACTTTCCCCCAATTATTTCAACCATTCAGTCTTTTAAATTCCCTATACATGCCTAACACTTAATCCAGGGGAAATAAAAACCTGTACTGTTTAAGTACTTGATATTTATTGAAATAGCAAATAAGATCATTGCCACACTTCGTAGGATAACACATCCTACAGGCCAGCTTAATAGGTAAGTCAGCTAAATTTCCCATTCGAGATCTAAGAAACACAGCAGGTAGGGAAATCTTGATCCAATTTCACTTAACTTCTTTCCCTGAACCTCTCAGGAAAAAAAACCCAAAGCCATTTTATTTTTGACTCGTGTCAAAATAAGGTTATTTCCCAGTGATAAAATACCTTATGGGTGATCAAATTAAGTTTGTTTTTCTACAGTCCTCCTAACCACAGAGTGGCCTTCATTTGCTTCTTTAAATTCGAATTACAAAAATAATTACACACTGACATTAAGATCTGCTCTCCAGGCCCCAGTGATTGAATTATATGACTTCTAAGGTGTCTTCCAGTGCTATGGGAGGCCACTACCATATTACCTTATTTCACAATTCTTGTTATAAATTTCTACAAAAGATCAAAACTTACATTTGTACTAAAACTAGACAAAAAAAAAAAAAAAAGATTTTCATGCACTAAAAAGTGTGAAAAAGAAGGCAGCTATTTATTATTAAAGATCCTATACAGCTGATTTACTTGATACATCAAAGGAAATGCTGTGCGCCCAGTATCAGTGGAAGTTGTCATGCAATGTCAACACTTTGTCCCAGATAAAAGATCTGAACATAATTCCTTTTTAAAAGACTAAACTTAAACAGTTTGGGGTTATTTTCATACATGCTATTATGAAATAAATGATAATAGAGTCCATGGAAATAATATTAGAAAGTAGGTTACTTCATATGAATTAAGTTTCTCATTTACACAAGGGTATGCATTCAATTAAGTATGTACTGGAGTTATGTCTTAAGTAAATTGCTTATGGATTTAATCTAGTTAAAATTCTATATTTAACAAATGAAATTATTTCATCTACATGCAGATTGCATAAAGATGTCAGAAGGTTATTTAAGAGGCAAACATTTTGCTAATATGTTGCAAAAATTTACCTACAGCTATACATTTTCAGCGAGGCTCACCTTCTAATAATAATATATTTCAATTAGGTTTATGACAGTTGGTACTTTGTGGATGAACTGGAAATAAGATGTAGGTGAGGCTGACAGGCGCAAGAAAAAAAAATTCAACGATGGCCTAGGGGCCATTAGAAATAGGACTTTGAAGGGTTGCATGGTATTTTGTCAGATTCTACAATAGGGTAGAGTTATTCTTTCATCATAGTTATATGTTAAGTTTGTAACATATAAACACATTGGGCAACCTGGGAGTCATGTATCAATGAATTCAATTATCATACCATCAACAAAGGCAGAAGATTGAAAACCCAATTTGAGTGCTACGAAAGAGGTAAAACAAAAGATGACCATTAAAGTAAAACATAATAGAGGTGTAGAAATAATGTTAGATGACCAGTTTTCTGAGTGAAAATGTCATTTCAAACAAATTTATTTCTTTGCTTCATGAGAAAGAGCATTCTAACAGCAGTGTAGCCAGCATACAATCACAATGCTGTAGAACAGTAAATAAGCATGAGCTTTAAAAAATTACAGGGCAGACAAGGGGATGGTAAACTGTTAAACTTATGAAATAGAGTCCAACAAAGTAGTAATAGTGTGTGGGTCTCACCATGGGGTTATCAGTTGAGTAGGCCTTTCACGGTATTAATTATAATAACAGAATGGAAACATTTCAGTTGAGACTAAATATTTTCATGTATTTGTTTTGGTAAACTGCAACTAACTTTACAAATCCCAATATTCCCCTCAGTCAGCACTGGTGCTTCAAGTTTAGATTGTTAAAGAACTTATTTAAAGTTAGTGACACTGATTTGAAGATTTGCCATACAATGGATTGTTTTGAAGGAAATTTGTTATTTCTTCGAGAAAAAAATGTGTAAGAGTATCTTCTAGGATTTTAATTCTTAAAGTTGACTATATTATGGGTAGTGATTAAAAAAAAGTTAATACTTAAATATTGCAGACATTCAATAATTGTTGAATGGAAGAATGGATAGATGGGTGGATGGATAAAGGGTCTTAAAGCTTTATCCATTAAATCTGGTGAAGAAATAATTTCTAGTGGGAGCTAAGGTCTAAAATCTAAAACGAAATATCACAAGGGTGTATTCCTGATAGTCTAATACTAGTGAATATCTTATTTAAGCAGCTGAAACAATAGACAATCACTTATTTATATGCTTATATGTATAAGAAACCTTAGGCTCACAAAAAAATATACATGTTTTAAAACAAATCTAAGGCACACAAAATACTAAAACGAGTCAATGAATTACCCTATTTTACATATTCAAAAGCAGAAATCTACTTGTACAAGATGATGGTCTATCAATGGACATTTTGTTATTTACAATCCCTTCATATTCCTTTACTTGGATTAGTCAAAAGCTTGAAACTGATACTTTGCACCATATATTATTTTAATATAAGCTATAACGAGTTTTTCTTTAGAGAGCTTGCTGGAACTTTTGCACCAAAATTGTGAGTGTTAGAGGTTGTGGGCTTCCTATGGCATTTCCAAGGGAGAAGCACCATTAGGTTTTCCATACTCCCAAGGAATCTGACACTTTGAATGTTATAGCACCTCTGCATTTTAACAAAATCAAGTATTTCATTAAAATTTTTTTCTTATTCAAAACATTTGGTTTGGGCAATCCTTTTTGTTTTTCTATGAATCGAAAAAGTCCTAGGAAAAAATAATGGGAGGACTAAAATAAATGCCTATTTTCCTGTTACCTGGAACATAGGCAATTATCAGAAGAGGAATTATCATTCTTCCAAAACTAATATGCTTAGATAAACTATTTTGGATTAGCTCTTAATGGGCAGGACTAAACTTATAATACCAATCCTATTGTTTGATTGGGGTGTTATGATGATAGGGATTTTTTCCCCCCAAAACATTTCTACAGAAATTTTATTCTTATTCTGTATCAATGACTTTCAGAACAAATAAGGCAATTTGGGATGGGTAGAGTTTTTACTACTCAATTTTTGTATTTTATCACTTTGACACTTTAGAAGCATTTGACTCTTCTGAATCCTATTATGTCCCATCTCCTTTTGAAAACACCCTTCATGGATTATATTGAGAAAGCTAGGATGAAAGTAAATGGGAGCCATTGTTGCTTGATAAATCAGAAGAGACCACTCTTACTTAGTTCCAAAGAAAATGTTAATCAATATTGGTGATATGCTGCCAAATTCCAATTTTAGAGATAATTAACAATTTTTGCATGATCTATTTTATGTGAGTAACTAATATTTGAATGAAAAGGACACATTAAAAAAACACAAACCATATACATGATTAGAATACATATTTCAGTTAACAAGATGGAACTCTACACAGCAATAAATGATTTCTCTTGTATGCAAATATGCACAAACAACAGACAATAGGATTCTTATACTATACTATTTCAAGTTACTTTTAAAAATAGAAAGTGCTTTTAAAATATATATTTACAATCTATGAACAGCCTCCAACCATTACTAACGATAATGAATTATTTTATACAGGAGAGATATTTTAAGAGAGAAAACATTTCATTGGTTTACTTCAAAGGAATATGTCGATTTTCTAGCAATGATTGGAAGATGTTGGAACAATGGCACCATGAAATAATAATTCAGCTTATTTTTAACTGTGTGGATGTGGTTAAGCACCAGGAGCTGTGTAGAGTTAACACTGTGTATCTTGATTACATCATAACATATGACCTGTTAAAATCCTCTAAAAATGACTCTTTTTCATAGTAAACAGACTTAATTTAAAGCACCAACTGAGTGATTCTATCAAGGTTAACACCTAACCAAAACATTTCTTTATGTATTTAAAACTATAAAACTTTTATTTTTGCTTAAAATGTGCGCCTTCTACCAATTGTCAAAATATAGTCACAGTTAAGAAATACCCACCCTATTTTTTTTTTTTACCTCAGCCTTCAAATGGGTGAGATGAAGATATAGTAAACGACAACATGACTTTCTTTTAACAGCACCTTGAAAAAATACACTGCACTAGCAAAGGCATTAAGAAAGGGAGAAAAGCCTTCAGACCCAATGGTTATAGGGCCCTGCAACATGTGTGAGAGCATAAGGGGACACAGTGACAACATTATCATGGGTTAATGTTAATGCTTTATGAGAAGGAATTTGGTTCAATTCATTAACTTCAGGAGACAGTTCAGGACCCTCATTAGCTGCCTGATCTTTCTGCTCTGAGGCCTTGGTTTTCTTATTTTTAGCTTCTTTAGCCTCGAATTTAATCTTGTTTAGTTCAAAACCGTGTTGGGGCTTATTCAGGTTTTTGTGCTGGTAGAAGACAAGGGAGAGGCGTGTAGGATGATTCCGGTTTGGGTGTTCAACAGGAGTTGTAGCATGAAGCTCTCGCCGGGCACACTCAATCAAAACAGAGCCATGAGCGGGTGCTATCGCCACCCCACCAATATTGGCATCCAAGAAGATGTGCTCACTGTCGGACCAATACTCATCAATGTGGGGTAATTTCTCCTCAGCAGGTGACAGGGGGTCGTCTGATAGGGGGTCATCTGATAGAGGCTCATCTGCTTCAGAATGCTGCTCATCTTCTTCCATCAGAGAGGAAGCAAGTTCTGGAGGAGAGGTGATGAATGGGGGCTGCTGGTTTGGTTGATTAGAAGTTAGCTGCTCAGATGAACCAGTGGGAGGCTCAGAATAAACCAGGGAATCTGACATGGGAGTAGACAAGGTGGGAAGAGGGCCCACTTCACCAGGCTGTGCGATTCCAGTGCATTCCCCAGCAGCAGCATTAGCACCACTGTGTCTTGCAGAAGGCATTGTGCAGTGGGGATTGCTACTTCTTTCTGAAAACCCGTACGAAACTGATGCACCGTTCTTAAAAGGAGATGTTGTGGTCGAAGCAGTCTTAGGCAACCAGGAGAGGCCTGGAGATAAGTTTGCCTCTTTCACTGGGTGAGGAATGGATGGGGTCAGTGAATAGGTTTTTGTGTTGTCCAAACCTTTGAAGATAAAATTGGGTTCAGATTCACTTTTTATTTCGGGTTGCAAGGTCTCAGTTTTATTCCCTAAACAGAGAAAAGGACACCAAATGTGAGGATAAGTACAAACTACTTTGGTAGTTGTTGTCTTTAAAGACTATTTTTTAAAAGCAGTACAAAGAATAATATAACAAAACAATGATGATGGCAATGTTGGTCAGTTTTGTTGTATTTACTTTATCAAACATGCACGAATACATTAATAATTGGATATAGTTTGGTATGCTTTATCACTCAATAATTTTCCTTAAAGAATTCTTCCCTTTCAAAATAATCATAAATAAATGCACAGATTTAGCCAAATGGATGCCCACTGTTTAAAATAATAATGACCTAATTGGCTATGAAGTAAATATTAAAGCCATATATTGGAATAAAATGCAGGTAATAATATGATGACATAGAGCAATATTTAACTACCCAAAGAGATGTTTAGATTTTAGGTAGTGTATGATCTCATATTTAAAAAACTAAAAATAAATAATAGTTTTATAAATATTTCTCCATAATCAAAGTAAACTGGCAAAGTAAATTATTAGGCAAAGGGAAGTCATATAAAATTTTAGTTGAAAGTAAGTCTTCTGTAACCCTGAAAAATACATGCATTTAAGCTTGTTTCTCATTGGGTAGGGTAGATCGTTATTATCACATTGGCCAAGGTGGGTAGCTGCTCAGACGTACCCACACAAACATCACATCAAATGGAAAAAACATTTTTGGTGAGAACATTCTCCCTGTTTTGAAGTGCTAAAAAAAATCTGGGAAGTGCAAAAGCAGGGAATTTTAGGACCAAAAAATAGAAAAAATGGCCATATTTTAAAATAACAATATAATAGCAAACATCTAATTCAGAAGATCTGCAATTTCTCCTTCAGTTGATACACCCTGGAGATACAATAGTTTTCATTTCTAAAGAGAACTTATACAAAGGACTCAAGGAGTAGTACATCAAAAAAACTCGTGCTACTATCTGTAGCTGCATCTATTATTATAGAGGTTAAGTTGTCAACAAATATAAATCATGGAAAGATTATAATAGTGACAAGTCTTTCACTGAGTTGGATAACACTATGAAAAAAAGTTCTTAAAGGTAAAATTACGAAAGGATGAGAGCCAAATATAGTGCATATAGCTACTAATAAGGCATATGTTATTTTAAAAATAGCATGTAAAGATACTATCTATTGAGGAATGACACCAAGTTGAAAATAATATGACTGCTGTTAACAAACAGCATGGAACTAGATATGTAAATCTTAAAATAAACCTAAATAAATATCTGTTAAATGGAGCTACAAGCAAAAAGGAATAATTCTCCCTGCCTTTCCTCTTCACTATCTCTTTAATGAATCTTTCCCAGCATTGTTTAAATGTCTGGACTGCCATTTCTCTCATCTTAAAACAAACAAACTCTCGTCTAAATATAAAAACCAAGGAAGTTAAGGAACATCCTCTAATTCTAAGTTTGAATACCAGTATAAATTCATGATGTAGTTTTCTCTTTAGGCTCCTTGGAGAAATGGCTGATTTTAGATATGGGGCAGGATTATATAAGATGAGACTGGAACATCTTGTTAGAACATAATCTAAGCAAGCTATCAAAGACAATCGGGGTTATGATAACAAAAATTCAGAAATCAGGTTTCTACTGACTAAAGATGGGACAATTCGAGGATCGTTTTTAAAAAGCATTTTCAAATTTAGTTGGAAAAAACCCTATTTAATATGCACTGAAATATAAACTATGTTTTAAAAAAACCATGAGATTAAAATATCAATTAAAAAAAAAAAATCGACCACATTGGAAAATGCTTGGGAACTACCTTTATTCTGAAAACTTGTGAATAAAATCAAATAGCTAAGTGTTTGTTCTGATTTCTCTATATGAACCATACTTCAGAATTAACAAATTATGCACAAGGACAATATTTTTTTTAAAAAAGAAAATCGACTAACAAATGGAAAAAGAATGACAGACTTTCTTACTTCTAATAAAGAATATAGAGTATGATTATAAATTTTTCTAAAACCATTAGGTAAAAAGCTGACAGGAAACATTATAATCAGTGAATCAGTTTGATAACACCTGACACACAGATCAGTCTCAACATCACGAAAGGAGATACCAGGGAATACATAGTGAAGAAACAGAAATGTATATACATCACTAATAGTGTTCTTGCCATAGTAACTTAAAAACAAAAAAATGAAGCTGAACTTGTCTCTACATGACAATGGTTCCTGCTACAGGAAAAAAAGAAAAAAGAGAAAAGGAGGAAGAATGCAAACTTTAAATTTAAAAAAAGTATGGGAGACTTATCAACTAAATCTACCGCATTACCTTGTTTGGATAGTGATTTAAACTAACTAAATGTAAAAACCAAAAAATCAAGTAGGAGACAAATGAAGCAATTTTGAACACTGATTGCTATTAATGCATTTTTTTAAATTGGGGGGTTAGTTTTAGGTATTGTGGTTATAAACATTCCTTATCTTTTAGTGACACATACTGATGAATCAATGCATAATGGGATATGACTTCTGCGATTTGTTATTTTAAAAATCTAAGGGGTAGGGCCTGGGTAAAGGTATAAATGAAATAAGAATGGCTATGTATTGAAATCTTTTTAAAATGGGAGCCTATGAGGGATGTGGGATCCACTATATAATTCATTCACTTTGTACATTAAAAAAATTTCCATTTAAGAAAAGAATCTCAATCAATTAATCTCCTTTTTAGCCAACCACAAGAATTTTTCCCATTTTCCTCCCATTTCCCTGTAAATCCACTTCATTCATTCTTGCCATCACTTTACTGAATCTGCTCTAGAGGCCTTCAAATCTAAACATCTCAGTCTTCATTTCTCTTGACACAGGAGTAGCATTTGACATGGTTATCACTCCCTCCTTGAAACACTATATACATTCTTGTCATTTCACTTCTACCTCATCAGACATATCAAGTCTCTCTTGCTGGTTCCATCCTCATCTCTGAAGCCTCTACAAACTGAGACTTCTCATGATTTGTCCTTGACCAAATTTATTTTCTGTCTCCTTCAATTTCTCTATTTCATTCATTCTCCTGGCTTTAAATGCTACCTCTGTGCAGCTGACCTACTAAATCATATCTCCAGCCTGAACCTCTTCTTTGAACTACTCTTATTCAACTGCTTACCTAAAATCTAGACTTGAATGTCTGTCTGACAGGTGTCTTGAACTTGACACATTGAAAAGTGAGCTTCTGATCTCCCTCTATATCTTTCCAAATCTGTGCTTCTCTCCCCTTTCCTCATGACATGTTGGTGGTTTCTCCATCTTCCAGTTTATTTAGGCCAATAACATCAGGGTAAATAATGAAACTTCTTTTTATCTATACTCCAGATTAATCTATCAGAAGTTCTGTTGACTCTACCTTCAAAACATATCCAGCATCATATATTTCTCATGCCCTCTTCTTTAGCCACTTTGGTCCACGCTCCATCATCTCTCTGATTTGTTAGGATAGCCTCATTTCCACTCTATTTTTCTATCTTCTGCCCCAGCTTACTCTAGTTTTAACTGAGTAACCATAATGTTAGATTTGAGTCACATCATAGGCCTTCTCTATTCTGAAATCTCCAGTAACCTTCTTCTCACTCACAATAAAGGTCAAATTCTTTACAGCAGTCTAT